CACAGTTATCTCCAGTACATTAAATAACTTTCATCAAAAAACATGTTATAGGTAAAAAGCTCTGAAGGACCAGCTATGTATATGATAATTATGTTTCAGACCTTCCAGGGTATTATATATAATAACTTGTCTTCTGGACGTGGTCTTGAAGTCTTTATGGATTCAGCCTCAGTAGTAGCGAACTGCACTGCTACTTGGTTTGGAGTACAAATTAGACTTTAGCCCTCCTGGAGGTTGAGTTTTTGGTATTGAAAACCATAGGAATGAAATCATTGTATTTCAACAAAGGATCGAGGGCTTGAGGCTTAAACAAGCCAACATATGAATATATGTTTTTGTCTTGCTGTACTGCACATATGCTGTCTAGTAACAGATATTTTGTCTGCTAGTAGTGTTCTAGATTATGTCTTTCCAAAGTGCTGAGGCAGTGCACCTATTCTGTAGTTGCAGCTGATGCCTGAATGTATCCTAGCTGACAAATTGATTAATAAGAACTTGAATTTCTGAAAGATTTGTACTGTTAACCAAAATCTGAGCAAGGAGTCTCAAATGTAATTCTTAGCCAGAATTACATGTTAATGAACCATTTAACAGTGTAAATCAAGGAACATCAGTGTAGGGATTTCTTTTAATTTATTTTTTACCTGCTTGAAATATCAGTTAAAGGTTGCCAGCTTGGTTGCAGATGAATGGACGTTTGAAGTTCACCAAACTACTTAATGTGGAATAGGATAATAGACTTCCAACACCCTCAAGGCTGTGACCTTGCAGCCATTTTACATAGCACATCATCCTCCTATAGGGGTGAACCTTTCCTTGGCCCGAAAAGTAGCCGCTCTGGTTGAAGCTTTGCTTATTGTAACAGGCTTTTGTTTCCAGGTAACATGTCTGTGGAAGACTTAATTCTGAATAGAGATATAGATATTACTGGAAACTAATTGTTTTTTCTATTATACTCTGCTTTATCAAAAAAGTGAAACATTTAAATTGTGCTACAGAAATTCAGATGTTGTCTTGCAATCTTTAAACAATAAATGAATGATTTGCCCTTAATATGGCTGATGTATTTTGTGTTCTGTTAAATTGAGCATTGGATGGAACAATAGGGTCCTCCAGTTATGAAATCTATATCTGAACAGCTCCAAACAACAAAAGGACCAGATTTCCCGACAGTACAGCTATGATAGTAAGAATTATTTTGTTTTCTCAGCCAAGTGTGGTGGAGCATGGGTCAGGCTGGTGTATGATCCATTAAGACTTAACAAAGCCTGAGACTCCCAGCACACACATTTGTGTTTGTTCCTGTTCAGCTTATAACCATTCTGGCTTCTTCATCTACCCTTGTAGTCTCATTCGTTATGTGGACTATTCCTTCCCACTCTGTATGGTGATTGAACTCAACCACCAGTATGAGGGAGGAGGATATCCATGCATCAGGGACCAGAACAGGCTGTTTAGCTGCCTGTTTTCTCAGAGATATAACCAATTTTTTTTCAATAAAATGTTAGGTAATTTACCTCCCAAGTTCTGTGGATTGAGACCCTCAAAGCCCTAATGTGGGTTAGTGTTTGTTTCTTGGAAGATGAGGCAAGAAAGATGTCCAGTAGATTAGTCATAAGTTCTTCTTTTTTTCTAATATCTGTTTATTTGACTGCATTGGGTCTTAGTTGCGGCATGTGGGGTCTTTTCCTTGTGGCGGGCAGGGTCTTTTCGTTGTGGCGCATGGGCTTCTCTAGTTGTGGTGCGCGGGCTCTAGAGTGTGTGGGCTCAGTTGTGGCGTGCAGGTTTAGTTGCCCCACAGCATGTGGGATCTTAGTTCCCCTACCAGGGATCGAACATGCGTCCTCTGCATTGGAAGGTGGATTCTTAACCACTGGACCACCAGGGAAGCCCCCATAAATTAAGTTCTTACCCCCACCCTCTTCTGTCTATTAGGAATCTGCATCAGTTATTTCCAGTCTACTTCAGCTCCTCCTGCCTTCAGTCTAAAGGAGTTGCTTGTGCACCTGGAATAAACTTGCGTAACTTACCATTTGATTCCAATCCTAAACCCACTCTTTACTTGAAGCACATGCCTCTTAATAATATTAACTACAGCTAATGTTCAGATTCTTTGCCCAAACCTCTGAGGCACACAGTTATGTAAGCCCCATTTTTATGGAATAGGCTTGTAGAGGTAAACTTGCAAGTTTGTTGTAAGTGATAAGGTTATAATGATAAGCCCTTCTTATCCCATTCCCCATCAACTCAGAAAGTACCTTTTTTTTTTTTTTTTTTTCTTTTGCGGTACTCGGGCCTGTCACTGCTGTGGCCTCTCCCGTTGCAGAGCACAGGCTCCGGACGCGCAGGCTCAGCGGCCATGGCTCACGGGCCCAGCCGCTCTGCGGCATGTGGGATCCTCCCGGACTGGGCATGAGCCCATGTCCCCTGCATCGGCAGGCGGACTCTCAACCACTGTGCCACCAGGGAAGCCCTAGAAAGTACCTTTTTATATGTAGGCAGTTTGGTGCTTAAGACTAACTAGTGCTGCTGGAATTTGCATTCTAGCTCCCTGTCATTTTTTAGCCATGTGATCTCTGTAAAGTGAGAGTGCTAACACTGCCTACTTTTTTAAAGTGTTGTAAGGATTAAATTCATATAAAAACACTTGGAACAGAGCCTAGCATGAAATAAGCTCAGTGTCATTAATGTTTTTAAATGCAGGGACGTTTTACATGTATTCTGTTGGCCAAATGCTTAAATTATGAGATGTATGGGTTTTTGCCAGAGAAACGGGCACAATCTAGAAAGCCTTTGCTGCCCCCGTTTGTTATTCTTGGTGTGTCGGGAGTGAGTGCCAGAAAGCTTCAAGTAACTAATTTCTCTTTATCTCCAGAGTTCGGAGGGGTCTGGAAGCAAACATCATAGTTCAGTGTTGCCTGGCACTTCTGAGTTGCTGCCTCATTAATATCAAGGGGTCTGCCCCCTCCCCCTCCCCTCCCTCCATCCCCCTCCCCGTGCCTCCCCGCACCTCCGCTTTGTTTGGAGGGAGGCTAACGGACTTAGTTGGGCAGTTCAAGCAAGGAATGGGGCTCACTTATCCAAGTCCTCACAAAGATGAAACTTTGTTCGGGAGGATTCGACTCGGTTTTTCCCTGTCGCCCCAAAAATTAATTTAGGGATCGCCAAACTACAAAAATGGGCTTGTACCCTGTGCGTGAAATGGTACGTTCCAGTAAAATTAGCGATACCTCGTGGAAGTGATAAGCTTGATTCCGGAAGCACTATAACTGGGCGCCAAATTTGAGTTCATAGCCGCGAAATTGCCTGGTTACCGCACTGTGATAGGTGGGTACAGGGAGGGCGGGAATACGTCAGTTCCTATCTCCCGCTGAGCCTGGACTCTATAAAAACAGCGTGTTTCACAGTTGCTCGGGACGTTGCCACCTTCCACTCCCAGTCGGAGGAGAGCAGTGGCGATTCGATTGGGCCAAAGGCAGCAGAAGCAGGTAGGTGAAGGGAGAGTACCGAAGCGGAAACAATCTTCACGCTCGTCCTAGTTGAGCTGACTTAAAGTCAGGACCACCATAAGCCCTAGACACTGTCCGTGAGCCTTGAGACTGAGATTTTGGCGAAATATTTTGCCCGTTTCCACTTAAAGCTTTTGGAAGAAGGAATTTTTTTGTGTGTGTTAGTGATATTAACTCCGGGGGGGCTTAACTCCGGGGTATGCGGGGCAGAGATAACCAGTTGGTGAATTAGGGAGTAGAGGCCTGGGAGGTGGCGTACAGTTGTAGGGGGCACTCTAGGCCTGAGTGGTGGAAGGCCAGCAGGCTGATAGAGGTTGGAGTAACGTGTGGAAGTAGGGGCAGGTGGAGGATGGGTAGGAGTGTGCATGGAGAGGGTCGATGCCTGATCAGCTAGCGGCAGCTAGCGGCAAGAGACGGGTGTGAGAGCGGGGAGCGGAGGAGTCAAGGCGCAATTGGTGCAAGGCCGGCTGGGGGCGCTGGGAGGCGAGATGGGGGGATGGGTCTAGGACCGATGGTGCAAAACTGCCAGGAGGGGGGAGGGGTCCAGGCCTGTTGGTGTAAGACCTCCTGGGGAGAGGAGGCTGGAGCAAGGGGATGGAGGGGTGTGTGTATGGGGGGGTGAGTGGAGGTGTCGAGGTCTGAGCAAGAGGGGGGAGGGGTCTAGGCTTGATTGGTGCAAAGCTGGTGGGGGGCGGGGGGTTGGGGGCAGGGAAGAGGTGGAGGGGGCTTAGAGGGGAGGTGGAGTGGGTGGAGTGGTGAGGCGGAGTGCGGAGGAGGGTTTGAGGCCCCGTTGGGGCGGAAGTTGATGGAGGCGTGGGGCATGAAGGCGTGGGGGGAGGGTGACCTGATTCCCCGTGCGAGTAGGGGGATGGGGAGAGTGTGAGTTGGATTGAGGTGTGTGTCGGGGTGTGGCCTGGTCTGTGTAAGACTGGCTATGAGCAGGAGTAGGGAGGTGGTGGAGGGTACGGGGGTGGCGGGATGTGGGGGGTGGGAGCGTGTGAAAGCCTGATGGAAGACTTCCTTGGGGCATGAGGCGGAAGTAGGGGGAATGAAGATGTGGGGAGAGGGGAGGGCCGGTGGTGATGTAGGCGGTGGTGGGAATACATTTGGGGTCAGAAGAGCATTGGGCCGGGGACAGAGTAGTAAATGCTAAAAGCCTTACAGTGGGGAGAAAATTGATCTGGGGGCTGATAAATGAACGATTGTCCTCCCTGCACATCTCTGTAACAGGTGGCTGTTGAGGCGGCTTAACATCAGGGGCTGCTATGGGCTTTGGGCTTTTCTAATGGATCAACGAAGAACCTTGGTGGGGCAAGGTGGGAGAAAGGTCAGCAATAAACAAATTTAAATACTTCTCATTTCATAGAGCAAAGTTTTGGCTTTAAGTTGGGGTAAAGAAGCTGCTCAGAGGTAAATGCAGAATGTAGAAACATCTAACTGGTTCTGGTTTCCTTTCAAACGTATATCCTTGTCCTGACTACAGACGCGGACATGTCCAAAGCAGAGGATGGGCGTTGGAAGAACCAGGATGATTGGTGAGATCTGAAAAATTCTCTCTTCTCTTAGTTTAGTCTTACTCTGTTGGCAAAACGGCTTTCTCAAAAAGTATATGTTTATGTCACTTAGAGTCTACAGAGTGTATAATTTGGTTAGTCATAAAATGAGAATTGTGAAAAGAGAGCTTAGAATCATGGGAGTCCAGCTTCTATCCAGTGCATGAATCCTCTGTATAACAGCTCTTTTAGTGGCCAGGAGTGTACAACTTCATGAAGCAACACAATGCAGTGTTGAATATGTGTAATTTCTAGAAAGTTCTTCATTCTGGTGAATTTCAAATCTGTCCTTTTGTTACTCCCAGTGTTCACAGTGCTGCCCTCTTGAGGTACGTGGGTGAAGTATTTTTCTTCTCTGGGATAGGTATTTTAGGATAGTTGCCTCATCTTCTCTAAGTCTTCATTCTCCCAGAACACTGCTCTGTTTTCCTCCTTCACAGGTAAGATAAGCATACAGATAAGTGTCTGGTATGGGAGAAAGTAGAGACCATAGAATAGAGAGTCTGGAAATAGACCCAAATACGTATGAAAATTTAGTTCATGATGAAAAAAATGACATTTCAAATCAGTGGGGAAAAGATGGATTCATTGACAAATAATTCGAAGATAATTGGTTGACCATTTGGAAAACAATAAGAATTGGATTCTTACCTCATCACTCCTTATACCAAAATAAATTACACTTGGATAAAATATTTAAAAATAAAAAAATGAAACCATTAAAAATGCTAGAAAATATAGCTGGATTTTGTTTCCAGTAATTTTGGAGTGGGGAAGGTCTTTCTGAATTTGTTATCTAACAAAAGCATAAAAATGACAATGAACTGGAAAAATATTTTTATTACTTATGATAAAAGGCTATCTTCCTTAATCTACAAAGAACTTTTATTTAAAAGGAACAATTATGGAGTTCCCAGGTGGCCTAGTGGTTAGGATTCTGGGCTTTCACTGCCATGGCTGGGGTTCAGTCCCTGATCGGGGAACTGAGATCCTGCAAACCACGTGGTGTAGCCAAAAGCTAAATAAATAAAAGCAACAATGTAAAAAGGTGAACAAACAGAAAATGAGCAAAAGTTTTAGAAGGTAGTTCTCAGGGAAAAAAATACAAATGGCCCACAGACATTAAAATTTATTCAACTTTTTATTTTATTTAAAGAAATGAAAGAATTTTAAATGAGTGAGATACCATTTTTCATATATCAGATTGGCAAAGATTAAAAAAATTTTTTGATAATACCCAGTGTTGGCAAATTTGTAG